GTTTCACCTTTTGGCCAGTGAAAGCAAGAACATCACCTGCCTGAGAACAGAACTCAACCTTGAAAACTGTATCTCAGTCACAAACCATTCTTTCTTTACACGTGTAACATTCAGTATGAAACTGGGACCAGGGGGAAGATGGAATGAAAATTTCATTTTACATTTGAGGAAATTGAAAAAAAAAAACAAACATCAAGATTTGTGCATGATGTGTTATAACCACAGAATCCCTAAAAGATTGTGTGTTTGCTTAGAGTCAGCTTAATGTGAACACAGTCCAAGAGCCTTTCTCTGCATCTGTAGGTGGTCAACTACACTTGAAGCATAAAAGGACTTTATCTTCTCAGCCAATTTCCCATGCAGGGATGGAGAAATCAAGCTGACACAGAAACAGATGTTTCAACATTGCAACCTGAAGACCTTTTATTCCTATTATTTTTATTTGTGCTGTAGCAGTGCCAAGAGAACTGAGACTCCCTTGTGTTGCGGTGCACTGGAGGTCATGCAAACAGAATAATTGACGCTTCCTATTGCAGACAGTTTTCTGTCCATTTCTGCTGCTTCTTTAGCAACCTCCAGCCAAGCTTCAGACTTTGCAAACATTTGTCCTCAGATTCAGGCAGGTTATCATTATGCCTAAATTGATCAGATACTGTTTAACATAAAATCCCAGTGAAATGAAGTGCTTGCATAGTTCCACCTTTGCATTACAAGTGTCAGCGAAGTGACTGAATTTTAAAATATAGCTCGATGCTTTTGGTATCCTTTGGTATCCTTTTTCCTTTGCTCTTTGTAATTCTCTTATTTCTGAGATTTTAAAGCCAGCCCTTTGCAGCAAAACCAGAGAATGTAGGAGGGAGGAGAGGGGACTGATGAAGTGAGTTACTGTAGTTACTGAAACTGGAAACTTCATTCCTACTTTCATTGTCTGTGGTATCATGTTTAGTGTTCATATGATACTCAGAGAAAGAAAATAACTGCTAATCTAATCAGAGGGTAACTCACTCAATATTTTCCAGAATGTGATGTCTAATAATTTCCCACTATGTCATTAGAAAGCAGTATCAGAGTAAAGCAGCTTGATGCTCTGAATGTGCTAACTAAATTAGAAAACAGAAATAGTAATCCAAAATGTAGTGGGGGAGGAAAAAAAGTAAGTTAAGCCCTGCAACACTATGTGATGTCCAAGTTACACAAGAGAAGCAAGAAACATGCAGAACCAGAACAACTTAGCTTGAGATGGGGATGTGGCTTTTGTGCTATTGTTCTTTTTTCTTCTTCTTTTCCTTTTTCTCCACAAGACAAAGCAGGCATGAGAAGGTGATGTCAGTAACTTTTTACAGGTAGCTCAATCAAGAGAGACTTCAATTTGAGTTTTTTATATGGAGATGCTGTTTTAACTTGAAAGGAAGAGTGGAAGCTATCTGAAATGCTGAAGCAATGAGAGATTATGTTGTAGATGATGAATAATAATGTTCTGGTTTTATCATCCTGTGATTCATTCCACTCTGACAAATTTCTTTTTTGAAAGAGAAAAATATTATTTTATCCTTAAATCTTCTTTCATGTTAAAGGTGGATATCTGATATGGACCAAACTTTTCTATACCTTGTGGCATGGCCAAAGCAGGCACCTGGACTCTGGAGAAGGTGTCCCAGTCTCCTTGAGTCTTCCTACAAGGGACAAAGAACATGCCTTACAGAAGTGATATGGCCTAGTTTACAACCTGTTCTCAGGGCTGCATATTCTGGTAACCAGCAGTAGCCAAGCAAGTTTTCTCAAGAGCACAGAGCCAGCAGCACACATGCCTGAAGCCTGAGGGAGTTTTTAATGACTTTTTATGTGATTACTCTGCATCATTTGCTCTTCAGCTTGTAATTTTAACTTTTGGGTCACCTTCTCCTATAGGTACCTGTTAAATCATCCAGAGCTGTGAATTTGAATATCAGCTGCTTCAAAGGATTTTAACAATCCTATTTCCAAAATCAGCAATAGCCAAGACACATTGTTTTGGGTTCAAATGCTATAGCAGCTTATCTTCTCTGCACTAGCACTGTGGCTCAGAGACATCTTCGGAAAGTTTGTTCAATTTTTAATTTTAAATAGAAAAAATTGTTTTTTAAAAAACAATCTGATCTTTTTGTAAGGTTTGTAAGCCAGACTCTATCAGGCTGGTTCAAAATAAGCTATTTGTTATGTGAGATTCACATAGAAATGAAAAGCACAATAGGTCAGTACACAGCTCTTCATATCCTAAAGCCAAAATGGTGACATTCATTGGTTTCTTCAGTACACGACAAAGATCTTATATAAACAAGGCAACAAAAGCAGCAACAAAGATATGAAATGCAGGGGAAATAATTCATTTAACGTACACAGTTTTCTATGAGCAGCAGACTCAAGTTCAGCACTTCTGATACCAGTAACAACAGTAATCAACAGTGTGATAAGAGCAGGTTTAAGTGAAACAGTGGGGAATAACTTGAGTGACGTACCCTGTAATGAGTTTACAGCTGAGAAGCAAGACTGAAGTCTGCATCAACATTTGAGATGAGGATTAAACAGGGACTTTTTCTTGATTATTAACCTCCCTTTTGTTTTGCCACAGGGCTTACTTGTCAGGAAGACAGGAATGAATGTGAAGAGAGTCTTTGTTTTCCTGGAGTGTCTTGTATGAATACCTTTGGATCATATGCATGTGGAATTTGCCCCAGTGGGATGGAGGGAAATGGTAAAACTTGCAAACGTAAGTGATTTGCATTATTTATTTTAATAGATGGGGAAAAAAATTGGGTTCAGTTCTACTCCTGTTGTCCTTAACTGAGTATTTTGCCACCTGCTTTAAGTATGGACCTTTAAATATACAAAGCAGACTATTGTCATGTTATATTAATATGGATAATTGCAAATTGGTCCCTGTTTGTTATTTTCACTGCAGTTTAGTTTCATTTTGATTAGAATGAACACCATAGCATACAAAAAAAATATTTTCCAGATGCCAGCTAATTTGCCAAGGACCTTCCCCTTATTCTCCACTATTTCACTTCTAATTACACCACCCACTAACAAGTAGTTAGCAGAACAAGCAGAAGAGAGAGCGGCAGCAGCACCGGCAGCGGTGAGAGCTGTTCCTTTAAATTTACTGAGGATTTGAGAGGGAGCCGGGCTTCCCAGAGACGGTGAAGCCGGGGCAGAGCCAGGAGACCCGAGTCTGAGCGGGAAGCCTGCGAGGGAGAGGAGAGGAAGGCTGACGTGGCAGGGGGTGTGGCTGTGAACGGCGGCAAGGTTTGAAAAGCGGCCATTTGGCAGCCTCATCTGAGCACGCGGCAGCGCAGAAGAGAGAGCGGCAGCGGCCTCCAGAGAGGAGACACGTGGCAGGCGCGAGGGCAGGCGGAGAGGCAGAGAGCCGCACGAGGGCAGGCAGGGAGCAGAGGGCAGGCAGGGAGCAGCGGGTGCCTAGTCCAGCGCAGAGCTACAAAGATGATTAAGGGAGTGGCACATCTCCCTTATGAGGAAAGGCTGAGGGAGCTGGGTCTCTTTAGCTTGGAGAAAAGGAGACTGAGGGGTGACCTCATCAATGTTTACAAATATGTAAGGGGTGAGTGTCAGGGGGATGGAGTTAGGCTTTTCTCAGTGATGACCAGTGATAGGACAAGGGGTAATGGGTGTAAATTGGAGCATAGGAGGTTCAAGGTGAATATCCGAAAAAATTTTTTTACTGTAAGAGTGACAGAGCACTGGAACAGACTGCCCAGGGAGGTTGTGGAGTCTCCCTCACTGGAGACATTCAAAACCCACCTGGATGAGTTCCTGTGCGATATACTCTAGGTGACCCTGCTCTGGCAGGGGGGTTGGACTAGATGATCTCTCGAGGTCCCTTCCAGCCCCTAAGATTCTATGATTCTATGATTCTATGATACTTGGGGAGTACTCCCAGGATTACTTTTCCTTTGGGCAAAAAGCATGTAGGGTAAGAGGAAGAAGGTCCATGTGCAAATCCTTCACCTCCTTTCACCTGTGTTTCCAAGGTGTGCTTTCATTAGAGGATGCAGTCCACAGCTGCTGACCATGCTTGGTGTAAAATCCTGCCACAGGCCCCAGCTAGTGAACAAAAAGGCTAAGAACAATTTAATACTTGCTCAGTATTTGCTTTTTGGGGCAACAGACTCTTTAGTAGGAAGACTACAGTGACTTTGTACTCTGCTGAGACCTTCCCGATGCACAGGATGTCATCTACTCACATGCTGCTCATTTCATATACACACAAATCACCTTGAAAAATAACATTTGATCAGCGAGAAGGAGAGAACTCAACACTTGAAGTGTTTCATGTTCATTTGTTTGTTGGTTTTTCCAAAGAAAAAGATTACACAGATTACAGATATTAACTGTGAGGAAACTGAGTTACTACATCAGTAGATGAGGGAAAAGCAGTGAATGTCATCTGTGTGGACTTTTGCAAGGCCTTTGATGCAGTCTCCCACAACATCCTTTTCTCAAAATTGGAGAGATATGGATTTGATGGATGCATCGTCTGGTGGGTATGGTCTTGGTTGGATAGTTGCATCCAGGAGGTAGGGGTGAATGGCTTGATGTCCAGGTGAAGAGGGATGACAAGTGGTGTCCCCCAGAGGTCTGTACTGGGACTGGTGCTGTTTACTATCTACATCAATGCTACAGACAGTGGGATCAAGGGCACCCTCAGGAAGTTTGCAGATGACACCAAGGTGACTGGTGCAATTGATACACCAGAGGGACAAGATGTTATCCAGAATGTCCTGGACAAGCTGGAGAAGTGGGCTAAGGGATGATGTGATAGACAGCAGCCCTGCAGAAAGGGACTTAGGGGCAGTAGTGGAGGAAAGGTTGGACATGAGCAAACAATGTGCACTCGCAGCCCAGAGGGCACTTATACCCTGGGCTGCATCAAGAGAAGTGTAGCCAGCAGAGCAACGGAGGGGATTCTGATTCTGCCCCTCTACTCCACTCTCATAAGACCCCACCTGGAATACTGTGTCCAGATCTGGAGCTCTCAACACTAGAGAGACATGGACCCATTGGAATGATTCCAGAGAATGGCCACAAAAATATTATCAGAGGGCTGGAGCACCTCTTCTATGAAGATAGGCTGAGAGAGCTGGGGTTGTTTAGCCTGGAGAGGAGAAGGCTCCAGGAAGACCTTAGAGCACCTTCTAATACCCAAAGGCACTACAGAAAACCTGGGAAGAGACATTTTAAAAGGACATGTAGCAATAGGATGAGGGGCAATGGCCTTAAACTAGAGTAGGGTAGATTTAGATTAGACATTAGGAAGAAGTTCTTTACAATAAGGGTGGTGAAGCACTGCAACAGATTGCCCAGAGAAATGGTGGAGGCACCATCGCTGGAAACATTTAAGGTACTCTGATGCATTCAAAGTTTGCAGCTGGACTACCCAAAGCCAACAAGTGTGCACAACACCATTTCAGAAAGAAGCTTCCAAGGAGAGGCAGGAACCAGGCAGAGCAGAGGCCCCAGTGTGCAGTGTAGCACCTTCATCCAAGTAACAAAGCTGTCTGATACCTGGGGAATTGAGGCCTCCTTACTGCCCTTAGCTCAATAAAAGATGAATGTGCATATTAAACATGTCTCTCAGATAAGCAAAGTTCAGTAAGTTTGAGCACAGTAATTTTTCCTGTATCCATGCTGAAGCTCTGCTGCATGTCAGCAGCTGACTCATCTGATTTGCCTTTATTTGCTTGATGGTTGGCTTCCAGAATAAACTTCTGTTAGGTTATCTGATTTGCTGTTACTGTTGCTTTTTATCATCAATCACAGCTAAGCTCTAACACCTTGTTTCCTTGTCTCTCTGCTTTCTTTTCACAGCTGTGCTTGCTGCTGACACTACAAAAGCTCTCAGCATTGAAAAAGGCAATGTCAAAGGTGATTTGAGCAAGGCAGAGGGTAAGTGGCTATTGCAGCCCTTGGAGGCAAAGGATTCTCCTATTAGTAAGAATTTTAGCATAAGTGATAGACATGATAGGTATACAAGGATATGAAATCTTTTTTGGTTGCTGCAGTTGCCATTTTCAGAAATCATCCATTTTGCCTCCTTAACAGTACACATGAGTTAGCTGTTTATAATACATCTGGGAAAGATACAGTTAAAAATCCACCCCCTCCTCAGTACGTCAGGCTGGGTGGCTGCTAAACAGCATTACATGGGAAGAGAGCCATGACAGTAACAGCAAGCAGAGTGGTCAGGCTTAACTAGAAATCACATCCCTTCTGAGGCAGAAGAAAAATCACTCCAAATCTTAGTGATCAATGGAAAGCAAGATGATAAGAATGACAGCTTACGCCAGCTTGCCAATGCCAAGTGATACTGACATTTTATTTCAGTGTTTGACAGGCAGCCACTGAATTAAGACTGAGTTTTGAGCACGAGTGAAGATCAAATCTTGAAATATGAACTTGAGTGTGGCAGCTGCTTTTTCCTGCACTACAGTGCTCTCTAACAGGGGTTTTTACCCTCATGCTGCTAAGTTGGCCTAGTTCTGAAAGTTATTGCATTTTTAGGTGGTTTTATTGTGAAAGTGAGGAGCAGTGTTGGGACACCTGTTGTGTTGGGCACATGTAAAATCAGATTTTTAAATTTTTTCTCACCTACTTTTGTGTATCTGTACCAAGCCAGGCAACACCTAACCAGAACTTGCCTCTTACAGGTATCCATCACAAAGTTGTAGGCAAGGTGCAAGAATAATGCTGAAAGTACTTGAGAATCATGATGCAGACCTCACTGAAGGCAATTTTAAAAAGATCTACAACCATCATTAAGATTTTACTCATCATCTGTTCTCTGCCTTGACACTATTAAATATTTCACAGGCAGTTCATATATATTTGCTATACGGTGACATCATAAGTGATAAAATGTTATATACTACAGGAGTGTTAATTTTTGCACATAGTTCTAAGATAATTAAAGTAGGCTCCTGTCATATAAGGTTTGACACTTTAAGGATGATTTCTACATCAGAAACATATGTACTTGAGAGTGTATTTTTAAAGACATGTGCTGTAAGATTTCTGATTACCTTCCAATTATGAAAGATCAAAAGGATGTTGAATAATACAATTTCTCAGTTAATATTTCACTTTTGCTGATAATTACAATTTCTATATTATCCATGATAAATGCCAAACAACTTTGAGTAATAAGCTTGAAAACATGTAATTAGAGGACTAATAAATCTTGCTTTAATGAGAAACAGCTGTTCTGTTACACTGTGCCTACAGGACATTCTCATGTTTGGCTCAAGGTTTGGGAACATTCTGCATTAAGTAGACTTTAAAAGAATAAAAGCAGTTATAAAGCTTTAGTCAGGCTCCACAGTCACTGCTTTATTTTATATATGTATTTGATTTGAGAACTTATAGATAAACATGCTTGAACTCCCTTCTTTTTTAGGCCATGAAGCAGCACTGTCACACATCACCACCTGTGCCAACAGGCCCTGTTTTCCTGGAGTGTTCTGCTTTGACCGGAAACCCCCTTACGTTGGATACGTGTGTGGCCGATGCCCAGCAGGGCTTTTTGGCAACGGCCGGATCTGTACCAGAGTCCTCAGACCAGGTACTTCCCAATTTTTGGAATTTTAAAGAGGTTTAGCATTACAGTATGATGTAATTAATAGTCAAGACACTGAAGGCTCTTCTATGACTGTGAACACTCTTACCTGATGAGCGGCCAGTGGGTCTTATTGCAGGGCTATCTGACACTGCGAGCTGAGATTCAGCAGGTTAACCATCTTATTTGCCACCGAGGAGAATTCTTCACAACAGGACCTACTAGATGATATAAATCACCACATCTGTATTTCTGCCACAGCACTGGCATAGGCTTTCGAAACCTGTTTCCTCCTCAGTAAGATCAGAACATGACACATGTCAGTGTCACTCTGCTTTCCTTCTTTCCTAATTCTTTTTCCCCAAGGCATCTGTTCTCCAAGGTCACCTGGGAAGATGATGATAAACAAACTGTCATGTAAGGATAACTATACCAACAACTAAAGGCAACAGATAATTAGAGCATTTCAATAGTATCGTTCGTACCCTGAGCAATCATCTTCCTTAGGGAACTGTGAAGCTCAGCTGGTCCCATTAATCTCTGAGGACTGATCATTAGAAGAGGTCTTCTGCTGGGATAAAAGAAAAGCTGGGTCCTGACCTCAGGCAGAAAGTGGCAATAGCATAGCAACCACTCATCAGTCATCCAGTCCTGCTCTCTCTCAAAGAAATTCTCATAATTCAATGTATGGTTCCCTAGGGACAATCTGCATGGTTGTCCCCTTTTTACTGCACAGACTGATTTGCCAAGAGAACTCATGTTTATTCCTTAATAACAGTAGTTACTAGGTCAGATTTCTTGGTTTTCTTCTAAATCTTTTTCATAAGTATTTAAGACAGATTGGCTTGAAAACTGTCACATTGTTCCCCAACCTCACATGCTGGAAAAAACCCACTTTCAGTTCCTGTTCTGTATCCAAATCAATGACTGTTACCTTAGCGTTGTAGTGTAATGCACACTATCAATATGGAAGCAATTTCATTGCTTAGTGTGGGTATCATCCAATCTCTTTGAACTATAAATTGATTTTAGCCACTTTGCTGAATCTAAAGGTCACAAAAATAAACCCAACATTTTTCTTCTCTAGCAATGAGTATGTACAGTGTATTACTTAGTTTGTCAGAGTCACTAAGTCAGCTATTGACTCTTCTATAACTTGGTGAAGCTGTAAAAGCAGTTGAGCAAAAAAAAATAAATCACTGTGCATATAAATAAAGGAGCATTTCTGCTATTGCCCAAAGCTGCACCTTGTGGTTAATGGGATAATGGGATATCCATTGTACATCACTAAGGTCATTTAAATGCTGTTGAGTAGAACAGATTGTCTACAGCTGTAGATATTGGTGCAGTAAATCAGACACACTTACACTGGGCTTATATAAACATTAACCAGCCAATTTGTGTATTTTCGAAAAAGGGAAGCATAGATAGTAGTTGTCATTGCCCATGGTTCATACCTGTCATGCACGGCTCCAGGCAAGATTTAAGAAATATCCCAAGTATCAGGATCTGAAACTAATAGATGCTGCTTTCAAAAGCAAGTTGTATATCAGAGGCTGGGGGTTTGTTTTTCTTTTTCCTCTTGAATACACAGAGTCTGGAACTTGATGCTGCAAATATGGCCATGCTACCAGCTGGAGCACTTTGGGGAGGGAATGAAGAGGAATTAGGTTTTGTTCCATCAGAACCTTATATTCACTCATGTGAATTATACCACAATATAAATGATGAGAATCTTGCTCCTCAAGGTTATGTGAGAGCAGTCATTTGTTTTAATATTTAGAAATGAAAGCAATTGCTGCAGCTGTGCAAGTGTCCTAATTTATGACCAAAATGATTGGTTTAACTTTCTTTCCCATGTGCTTTGCCAGTTCAAGCAAAAGCATTGTATAGCATTGATGATTAAAAGGTATCAGACAAAAAAGAATGAACTTTCAATTAAATTTAGGTAGAGTTATGGATTATGATTATTGTGAAATCCTCCCTGTTAGAATAATAGTTTCTCTTCCTTGTAACTTACTGGATCAGTCTTCAAATGAAACAGAACAAATCCTCTTCAGCTTGCTCCGGTGCTTGTGAAGCTGAGATTATGTGACACTTCTTTCCAACTCTAGTAATTTTAATCTAAAATACTCTTGCTCATCCCTATTTTGTACTTTTATTGGCTGCTTTTGATGTGAATTTATACCCAATGTTTGTGATTTAAGGATTAAAGGATAAGTATTTCTTACATACAGAAACTGCAAAAATTACCCAACTGCCTTTGTACACCACAGAGGAGAAAAAATATGCCAGAAAAAAATGGTTTCCTAAGTCAGTGTTTAATGACCTACATCCAAAAGTCCTTCCATTTTTATTTAGAATCAACGAAGTACCATTTCCTCAGCACTGATCTGTGATAGGTAATAATCTTTTGATGTAATTTACTTACTGCAAACTATGTAACTCCACAAATAAGTTTCCGAGCTGTATTTACCTGCTCTGCCAACAGAACAGGGCCTCTTTCTGTTCTCACTTTTGTGTTTACCTGGCTTATATCAGTAGTTTGTACCAATTTAAATCAACCAGACTTGATTGCAGTTGGATTTGAAGTATATCAGATTAGTCTTCAGGAAAAACATAACCAGTATCCAAGCCAGTATGGAGTTTCATATATGAAGGGAAATTATTATTTTAAAAAACATATTCTCATATCAGAAACAAAAAACTATTTCTCTCCCTTCAAAGTCCATAAAGCAGGTAGCCTACATTTTGGGAAAAAAAAAATACTAGGAGGATCATAAGTCCTTTAATTTTGCTGGCATTGAATAAAGAGGGAAGTCTAAGGAATTTAAATCTGTCCAGGCTTCACTGGGCACATTTCACATTTGTATAAAATATCTGTTACCTTTCTGTTAGAAGAGGCAGATCTATTAAATTAAACCATGCAGTATCATTGCTCATATTCTTGGCACAAAGAAAATGAATATATCCTACTGGGAGATGCTGGTGATGTTCCTGCACGTTGCAGTATTAGTTCTCGTCAGCTCCTACTGGTATTTCTCTAGGCTGGTTCCATCACTCACAGTCACAGAGATACTCATCTGTTTGCACTTCCTTTAGCAGGTGAGAGAGGTTGGTGTCATCACAAAAGATTTATTTTTTTCCCATTAGTAAATCAGCAATTTTACTGGACAAAGCAGTGCCACATCCATCTCCGATGGAGGATTGGCTGTCCAGAGCCAGCTCTCTCTGCCTCTCCTGGTTCAGGGTGCTGAAGATCAAGGGAGAGGATTATTTTATGGTCTCTGTAATGGAGTTCTGCTTTTCAATTCTGAACACCACTGCTAGCTCTCCTGCCACAGCAGTTCATTTGCAGTATTGTAGACACTTGACATACTTTAGTGTGTGCCAGCTATTTGTGATGTTTATGTACTCCATATTTTACAGTATTCCAGTGTCTGCACTGTGCTTCTGAATTCCCTTTGATTTTACATCAGAGAGACCTCTGTGACCTTCTCATTTGCACCACTGTCAGATCAACATCAAGGTGTGGATTTAAAAGGAGAATAAAATGGTTTGAATTAAAAGAATGTGTGCGTTTAAACACAGTGCTCAGTCTAACACCAGAGGAACATTTTAGTCTAGAGTTTTACATTCTTAACTTTTAACTTTGAAATCACTACTGTCATTATTAGGACTCATCATTGATCCCTTCCCATGAAAAATAAATAACTCCAGTAAGAGCTTTGGTCACCACCCCAAGGTTTCATCTCTGGAGCTAATTGCAGGAGTAGGGACCTCTTACTGCCTGGAGCCAATCAAATGATTTTGCTTCAAGAGATGACTAAAGAACATAATGGAGTCCTTTCATCTCTTACCTAACAGAATTGATGAATTTGCATTAAAAAGATCAAGGCCCAGATTCCAGTCTCAGTTATACCAGTATAAATCATAGGTGATTCCACTAAATGAATAGCATTACCCTGATGGAGTGAGCCAAGCACTGTTCCTGGAAGACGGCTCTTAAAACCTGTTAAGGTTGGCACATCACACACAGAACTTTTAAACATGAAATCTGTATGTAGCAATAGGTGTAGACACAATGCACACACATTTCAGCATTCAGAGGCTGCTTTGTAAGCAGTGACTAACAAGTCTTGACTTGGTTTATGCAATTAATTACAAGGCTCACTTGAAGACAGGAATATTTTGATGCTGCAGGCCTTAGCTGTGAAGCTCTTTGAGATCCTGGCACGGAAAGCATAACAGAAATACAAAATAAATAGCAAATAACGCCCTGATTTCCCTCTGTGTGGTAATAGCTCTCAGCTATTCTTGTGGGCTCCAAAACCAGGAAGCACTGCAGCTCTGTACCACAGCTTCCAGCACCTAAGCTCTGACTCACTGAAAATCTGCCCACAACTCATCTTTGGAATTTATAGTGGAAGTCACCCATCCATTTAGTAAACTAAGTGTTTCAGGTTTGTGCATTTCAGGACAAAATGCACATTTTTTCAGAGTGACCAGTTATGATGTAATGACGTCTCCTTCAAAGCGTACGTGATGAAATGGCAACTAAAAGTGGGGTTGGAAATGTCCCACAAATACATTCCATATAAGTTTGAGCTCATTTGCAAATGGTGCACCAGAAATCTTTGCACAAGGCCAGAATCAGCCTGACATTTTAGACATAACCTGTGACCTTTTCCTGCCCTCTGAGCATGTAATTGCCACTGAAAATCCACTCCTGTACTTGTCAAGATAGGAAGGGAATCTGAGAGTCTTTCTGATAGCTTTCTCCTCCTTAGGGACAACTAATAAAATATTAAGTATTTTCAGAAAAATATCAACAGAGGCCTGTACAGTATATGCTGTGACCCAAACATAACAACTAAAATAGGCACGGTGAGAAGAATATGTTTAGATAATTTAAAAGATAAACTGTTTCCAGCTTCACTGATCCGTATACTCTGTCAATCCAGAATTTGTTAAGTGCTTCCCATCCAGATGATATATTTAGGAAATGATGTAGCTCAGCAATAGAAGACCAATGAAGCCCAAGCCATAAAATCACCAGGGAAGAGGACTCAGCTATATGCCATGAATAATATTTACATTCAATCAGAACATCAAGTACAGATTACATTTCTCTCCTACCAAGAATGTGCCACCTTTTGCTTAAGCAATCACTGTGCCATCATGACTTTTAAGTGATAATAGCCACTCAGTCTCCAACAAATAATCTATGGAGGATACAGGCCCTGTAGGTTTTTTACATTGACAGAAGAGTGAAGAAGATTATCTCCTCTTAAAATTTCCAAGCTCATTTAATCATCTAACTATAATAGCACACAGCTTTTAAAGCCAGCCAACCCTGTTTCCACAAATTTGATAAGATGGCTGTTTTGTTAAAGGCACTTAGAAGCCCTTGAAAACTGTAAGTAACTCATACTGGACCAAT